ATATATACATACAAGTCATAGTGATCCTACGAACAACAGTTCTGAACTGTCCTATTCTGTGCCATCACTATTATCTCTGACACATGTGAGCCCATTACGACATTGACTTTTTATTGTAAAATTTATTTCAATCAGGCACTCATGTTTTGTTTTATAACGTCCTATCAAAACTATGCTATACTTTCTTTTCCCCTTTTATTTACTCATCCATTTACTAATCTCTGTTCCCTCACCTTCCAACCCATTCCTGTCAGCCCTCTGCAATTGTTTCTATCTATGAGTAAATCTTCCTTTATGCTTTTTTTCTCTCTCCTTCTCCCTTTCTTTAACTATCCCTCCCTTTTGACCAGTTATACATGTCCTCTTCCAGATTGCTAACTGCAGTGTTTATACACTGTTCAAGAGACCATTCTTTTTAGGTTGATCTTCTCTTCCTCTAATTCATTACAGTGTTCACTGTTTGTTCATTCTATTCCAGAACTCCTAAATCCCCATTAACCATACAATTTTTGCAATAGTGGTCTTCTAACAGTATTTGTCCTTTTGTGACAGAGTTCTTTCACTTAACATCATGACATTGACTTTTAAAGGAAGTATTTAAAAGGTTAACTGGAGCGACAAACATGTTCGTCCTGGAGAAGGTGAAACCGGGCTGCTCCTTAGAGGCAAGGATTCTGAAGCTCTGTCTGATATATTTTGGGTATGCTGCAAGGAGGGTCCAATCCTTGGAAAGGGATTACATGCTTGGGACGGTGGAGGGACAGCACAGGAGAGGAAGACCCCCTCGATGAGATGGATTGATTCTGTGATTGGAATGGTGGCACTAAGTGTGTCGGAGACAGTAAGTTTGGCACAGGATAGAGCAGGGGTTAGGGCTCTTGTACATGGGGTCACTATGAGTTACCAGCAGTTTGACAGCACATAACAACAACATCAACAACAATTTAAAATATTATAATTTGTTAATATATTTACACAATAAAAGTTAATTTATATAATGCTTTTTGGTAGATGTCATTCAGTTGATTTCAGCTCATAGCAACTCTATATGACAAAAATTCTCTGTAGGTTCCACACCATCATCTTTATGGAAAGAGATTACCAGCTCTTATAACTTTTGAGTTAGCCCCTGAGCACTTAACCATTGCACCATTTGGGTTCCTTTTAACATAATAGAACAAAATGATAAATAGTTAGAAATAATACCTATTCAATTTTTATGACAGTTTTATTTTTTTTTCCTAGTTTTATTATTTTGTGTGTGTGTACCGTCAAATCAGATCTGACTGGTACAAGAGGAGATTGTTCCTCCTCCTCCAGCAGAGCATCTGCTGTATTTGAACGGTGCACCTCTGGGATGACAGTTGCATTTTTACACTCTTTACTCTTTTATCAATGGAGCCACTTCTTTTTTTAAGTATTGGAACAGATTTCTAGAGTAGATGTGATCTACATACGATGGGACATTTAGAGTCTATGTACAAATAATTACACTTTGCAAGTGTTAATAAATAAATGCACTTATTTTCAGTATTTTGTTTTGGGATATTATGAAGTAGATTTTTATCTCATAGATACACATGGGACAGAGCACAAGTGCCCCAAAAGTGGTTTGGAATTTTGAGTTTGGGCCTTTTATAAAAAAAAAATTTACTGTAATCTGTACAGAAACAGAAAGCCAAGTCTTTCTTCTATTGAGCAGCTGGCTAGGTTTGAACTGCCAGCTTTCCCCAATGTGATGTCCCTCTCCAAGGACTGGTTCCTCCCTGCAACATGCCCAAAGTATGTCAGATGAAGCCTCAGAATTCTTTTCTCCAAGGAGCAGCCCAGCTTCATCCTCTACACGACAAACCTGTTTGTTTTTTTAGCAGTCCATGGTATATTCAACACTCTTCTCCAGCACCACAGCTCAAAGGCATCAATTCTCTTTCTATCATCCCTTGTCACTGTCCACAACTCTCCAATGCATAGCACACAACTGGGGAAGACTATAGCCTGGATCAGGCACACCTTAGTCTCTAGCCTGACATCATTGCTCTGCAGTACTCTTGAGAGGTCTCCAACAGCTGACTTTCCCAATGCAATTTGTCTCTTGATTTCCTGGCTGCTGTTACCAAGAGTGTTGACTGTGGAGCCGAGTAAACTAAAATTAACTATTATCTCAATCTCTTCACCATCCATACTGATGCTGTCAATTGGTCCAGTGGTGAGAATCTTTGTTTTCTTGATTTTGAGCTTCAATCCGTATTGAAGGTTGCAGTCCTTGACCCTCTGCAGCAAGTGCTTCAGGTTCTCCCCAGTTTCAGCAAGCAGAGTTTAATATGTATGCTAAATAAGAAAACCTTTCACTTGATAGCCTACTTAGCTTGTTTGTGAATGCACAGCAAACATAGCAGATAATCATGTTTGCCTTTCCAGAACACATTTCCCATTTGTCTTGCAGCTATTTAAGTAAGGCCATGTAGCTAAATTATAGCCAATGGACAGTGAGCAAAAGACTTAGACAAAAATCTCACATGTAATTTCTCTTCATTTTCTCTTACGGGAAAAGTAAGAAATAATGGTGGTGGTGGTGGTTATTATTTGTTGTGAAGCCAAAAATGACTTATTGCTGAACCTCCACTGGGTTTTCAGAGTCTGTAAACTGCATAGGAGGAGACTGTCCATTCTTCTCCCATGGAGCAGCTGGTGGATTTGAGACATGTTCTTCTGGGATAACAGTGAAACTCCCTGCCACGAGGTCATCAGAGTTCCCTGAGAAATTATAGTTGTTGTTATATACTATTGTGTTGGAACTCACATAGAGCTGAATCTCCAGTGGGTTTTCAGAGGCATTTAATGATTTTAGAGGAAACTGTAAACCTTTCTTCTGTGAGTAGGTGGTAGATTCGAACCCCATATCTTTATGTTGACAATGCAATTCCTTATCATAGAGAATAAGACATGATTCAGATCTATTATTCATAAAGTCACTATGACTCATACTTCATTCAATGGCACCTAACAACAACAACAACATGCCACCAGAACTCCCTGAAAAACAATGGAAAGAGGGTTAAATGTGAGGTTTATATTGTCCAAGTCTTTCACTCGTATTTCCTACCCTACAATCACAGATTGAATAAATGAAGAAAATTCTAGGACTCTGAGGAGACAAAAGTCTCCTCAAAGATGGAAGGAACCCTCAGAGATGTCAGATAATGATTAAAAAAACCCAAAAAAGCAGAAATCATAAAATGTTAGTAGCTAACTTCCATTAGCCTGTGTCTATTATGAATACATGGAAGTAGGTACTCAGAAATGGGACGCCAGTTTTTGGCAGTAGTTAAGAAAATTGAGTATTTGAAACTTGAAAAGAGAGTACATGTGCAACTCATACATTAAAGCAATAGGTAAAACCGTTGCCAATGATAACAGGCTACATGTCTACTGAGTTACTAAAGTAAGCAGATGGAAAGAATATAAATATTGGAGTATTCTGGCTACTGATGGTTGTTTTTGGCAAAATACTACAAAAAAAAAAAAAGAGAAGAGTTGGGAAGAAATGATCGGCTCACATGCAAAAACCAGAGTCAACAGAGTCAAGATATTTGGGACTCTGAAATATAGAGACATTTCTGGACTTCAAAATGTTAAGAGATAAAACTGAGAAAAATTTTGAACAATAAAAGGTCGTAAAAACTCAACCAAGGAAGAAAAAAGATTAAAATGCCACATGACTATGTTCTGGCCAAGGGAATATGAGCAGAATTCGCTGCCACTACTTTCAGGTGTGGCTCATAAAAACTTTCCACAAAATTCTATATACATTCTATTAACTTCTACTGGTCAAGTGGGAAAAACTAGGACCAAGAGGAGAAAAGGGTTAAGAGTCCGATCCTTTTGTCAATTCACGGTGTATTAAGATGTGAGACAATTTTATTTTACTAAGCTATTAAGAGTTTGGGATTGTACACGGTAGTCAGACTACACAAATAAATTAAGATTTATTTAATATATTAATAATTAATTAATCTGACAATATGCTAAACTTACACTTAACTCAGAAATAACGCCATGACATAAACTGATTAAGACTAATCAATTAACTGATTAAAGTAATTGAAAATTTGAGAGAAAACGGATTTAATGCAAGAAAAATTAAATACATTTAATTAAATACATTTAATTTTTTCCTGACAAACTAACTCTCCAATTAAAATACTTTTGAAAAGTCACACTGTATATTATTAGATGCTCAATTCCCATTTCTGTGGGTATTCATTTATGTTAATAATTAACCAGAAATTTTATTATTCCATTTTAGCAAAACATTGCTCAATTGCTTATAGAGGTTATGAGTCATTTATACATACATACCTGCGGTTTTGCTTTTTGGAGCCTGTTCTCTGGAATTTCTAAAAGAAGCAAAATACCACAATAACTTTAAAAGATCATTACAGGCTTTGATCTTAAGAACATAATAAAACTGATAGACACTGTAGTGTTACTCTCGCCATCCTAGCAGCAATTAGTGAAATACTAAGTTTCAGCTACCAATATTTGACCAAAAATATTAGGAACTTTTCCTCTTAGTACTCTTTGAGAGACTTCTTTTCATAATTGAAAAATATCCCATTTGGGATTCTTTCAAATAAAAATTTTACTAATCTCACATGTAACATAAATAAGGATCACATGCAATAAAGATTTACATTATTAAGGGAAAAGAAACAGTAATATATAAATGAGTATTTTAATTTCTTCAAAGTCACAAAGGTAAAGCTTTCCATAAATACTTCTTTACAAAGTGTTCTGTTTCATTAAGAAATATCTTTAAATACTACCAAAATTAAACCCAAAAAACAAAACAACATGTGCATAAACACAACTAAATTTTCAAAGAAAAGAGTTATTAATGATATAGCAATGATTGTTTCCTTCGAACAGTTTTGATAATCCTTATCAGGTTAACAGTTGTATTTCTACACAACTAATGTGCAAAGTAGGAAACTATGATGGTCTAGTGATAAGGAACTGCTCTGCCAAACTAAAGGCTTGCTTGCAGTTTGAATCCACTAGCTGGACTGTAGGAGAAAGATGGGCAATCTCCTCTCAGGCCAGACTCCAACTCGACAGCACCTAACAACAAAAATATGTAGGTGACACACTTCTGACAAACTACACAACATTCTGCATATCAGTTTCCTGTATGCAAGTTATATGCAAAATTGAGATATATAGCAAATGAAATTTAACAAGCTGTTTACAGCAGGGGATAAACATAATATTTTAACAGTTTAGACAAACTCTGTGTTAGGACAAGTAGCCTTATATTCTTAAGTGAAAATACATAAAAAAATGACTAATGTACATAATAACTGCTGTTTTTGGATGCTACTGAGTCAGAAGTAACCCCTAGTTGGCCCTCTAGCAGAAATCGCATGGAATAGATTGCTCATTCTCCTCCCACAATAATGGTTGTAGGTCATTTTTTTAAAAAGGGTACAACTTCAGAAAGTTCCATTTTAAGAATACAGATATGACAGATAATTTAAAAATATTTTGATATCAACAGATCCAATTATTTAAAAACTTCAAAAACCGAAGGATAAATTATTTGGCTATAACATATCACTTTATGAAATGCTAATAAATATAGCACTGCCAAGTATATTCAACAATTCAATATAAGTCAGAAAGACCCGTATTTAATAGTAAGATGCACTGCATAAAATAGAATTACGTGAAATAATCTCTTACCACCATATTGTTAGAATATATAGCATTTCAAAAATATAAAAATTTTTCAGTTCCCTAAAATTTAAGCTATTACCAAATAGAAAAATACTTTTACCTTCCAGTGCTTTTTGATTCAGATAATGAGTGGAAAAATACTGATTCAAACTTCCTGGATTCTGTACTTGGTTTGTTTTTGTCATCTGTCATATCCCTGTGGGTTTTGAGTATTTCTTCTTCAGGGAAAGGTTTTTTTGGTTTTTTTCTTTCCTCAACTGAAGAATGGTGGCTACTCTCCTTCCTTCGTGTCCGTCTGACTTTGCCAATGAAGAAGTCATCACTGCTATCACTATCTTCAGACATGGAAGACTGTTTATAAAACCTTTCTTCTGTGCTATCATCAAAATACTCCTTCTCTTCCTCATGCAATTCTTCTCCATCACTGCTGTCCTCAAGTGAGCTATTGGATCTTTTGGTTTTTGGGGTCTCACTTAATGTTTTCATTTTTGGGTCAGTAGGTGTTTTCTGGGTTGGAGCTGAAACTACAGAATCTTTCCCAGGAGGTTTTGATGGAGAGTTTGGAATGTTCACTGCTTTGGGTTCATGTCCCGTCCTGCTCAATTTTTCTTTTGAGTTATTTATGGGCTTCTTTGCCAGCACTTTGGATTCTTTCTCTTTACGCGTACTGACAACAGTCCCTTCATGCTGCAATTTCCTTTCATTATCATTTGAACAGGAAGTGTCCTTGGAATGTTCTTCTGAAGCATCTGATGATTCAACTCCAGCAACATTTTGTCTTGCATCTTTAAAGGCTTTGACAGTAGCTGGAAATAGAAATACATGTATTATATACAGTATTTAATGTATAATTAATCAAACTGAAAAACTGTACATGATTACTTTTAAAAGTAATAGTAAAAGACATAATAATAAAAAATAAATTATTAGCATAATGTTTCTTAAACTATTTGGAAACACTTAGAAGTTATTATCAGTCACGCATAATCAAGCTTGAATTCAAGAAGAATCCTGTGACTTTTGAAAAATTAATCTCCATTTGAAGACTATCTTTGTTTCTTTATGTCTTGGATTTAATGATTTTCCAAGACAACTCTGATTTCTACAGTAATATAGTAAGTGTGACAATGGACTCAGTATAGCAGAGACGGTGATGGACAGGACAGCACAGGGTTCAGAAGTTTTCTTCAAAGGGTTGCTAGGAGTTGTAGTCAACTCCGCAGTACCTACTAACAGCAATACACTGATGGGTCCTGGTGGCACAAATGCTAAGTTCTTGATTGCTAGATAATAAGCTGGTTGAATCCACTCAGATGTGCTGCTCCCTAGGAGGGAGACCTGGCAATCTGAACCCATAATGATCATGGGCTGGAAATGCTCAGCAGTTAAGTGTTAAAACTGACTCAATGGTACCTAACAATAAAGTACTGTTAAGAATGCAGAATATTATCAATTGGGCTTTTGCACATATAGCATCTTTAAATTGGCAACAAAATACTTAATTCTAGAACAAATAATTAAAAACTTAAAAATATAACCTACATTCCAATTTTATCAAATCAATTTGGTGGCCTTGTGGTAAGGAGTTGCACTACCAACCCAAAGGCATTCAGTTCAAGTCCAACAAGTGCCCCTGGGGAGAAAGGTAGGCAGTCTGAAAGTGATTTTGTTGTTGTGTACCATCCAGTCAGAACTGAATGATGGCAGATCCTTTGACAGGTTTTCAGAGGCAGTTAGCTGCACAGGAGGAGACTGCCCATCCTTCCCCCATGGAGCAGCTGATGGATTAAAACCACATGCATTCAGGACTGCAGCATGGCTTCTCATCTCTAGCCCAGAGAGCTCGCTATATGTGATTTACTGCCTCTGAAAATCGGCTCAAGGATCAGCCATGAGTTGTTTACAGTATGATGGTATCTATTTAACAGCATTAACAATAGCATCATGAATCTACACATACTCCAATAAAAGTTGTTAATCTGAAATTAAGGTGCTTGGTTGTTTTTTGTTGTTTTTTTTAAAAAGTTTATCGTTTTCTTTGGCATCCTATTTTCCCCCCAGGTAATTTCTACATAAATTCATTAAAAGCGTGGCTTACAGGGTACGTTATTCAATACCTTTTAGCGTATCTATTTTTTTCTTCAGAAGAGGATGTATCGCCAGTCTGGCAATTGCTCTTTCAGTTGCAGTAGAATCTGGCTGTGAATTTAAAATAAGCATAAGGTAAAATAAATAGAAGATAACTTGACATTATTAAAAAGTGAATTAAAAAACCCTACCAGTCTTTCAAATTAGCATTAGGGGAAATGAATATGTTAAGATTCTCACTATATAGAAATTATGCTGGAAAAAATATGACTACTTAACATGTTTCTACAAATCTGCTAAATATCCTGTGACCATAAAAAGAAATCAAAAGGTATTTATTATAGCTTTTGCTTTCAAAAAGCTTAAAAGATTTAGTCAAGAAAAGGTGTTGGAGAAGAGCACTGAACATCACATGGATAGCCAGACCAACAAATATATCTTGGAAAAGGTGCAACTGGAATGCTCCTTGGAAGCAAAAATGATGAGGTGTCACCTCACATACTTTGGACATGCTGCTAAGGGCTATTCCTTGGAAAAGACCATGATGCTAAGAAGGCTGGAGAATCAGCAAAGGAGAAGACTCTTGACCAGGTGGACTGATGCTGTGACTGCAACAATAGGCTCCTGTGTGTCAGTAACTGTGAGGATAGCGCTGGACAGAACAGGGTTCAGATCTTTGTTTATAGGGTTGCTAGCTGTGAATCATACTCTGCTCAACAGGACCTAACAACAGCCAACAAGACATTCTGATCTTTCATACTTCTCATTTTGGGTTGAGACCCATAAAATGATAACAGAGGTGAACAACTTAATGAAAATGTGGATTGCTCTGGAAGAGTATGAAGTGTGAGCATTTGACTTCTTGCCACTTCTATCTCCCAAAATTCTCACTGCTGTCAAGTCAGAACTGACTTAACTGACTTTCCACTGGGTTTCAAAAGCTGTAAATTATATGGGAGGAGATGGCCCATCATTCTTCCATGGAGCCTCTGCTGGACTCAAACCACCAGAAATGTACAGCCTTTGGGTTAGCATAAAAACTCACCACTGACTATGCCACCAGGACCCCAAAACTGAGCAAGTTTGAAATAACAAATATAAAGTCTAGTTGTTTATACTATGTGTCAGTGTTCATGTCTTCCATAGTATCTAACAAAAACAATGCTCTATAGGTATGAATATAACAGTTTAACGATGTTGTTGATTGCTGTTGAGTTGAGCATGACTCATAGAGACCCTATGAACAAAAAGGGCTGAATATTTTCTATAACTATTGTCATTTATCAAAGTTCATAGAGTTTCCAGAGGCATGTTGTTTAGGAAGTGGATGCCACTCCTGACAGCTTCTCACACTCATATTCATTTACCTGACAAGCTACAATCAGCAGTTGTTTACTGTGAAGTCGAAATTGACTCATAGCTGATCCTCTAGCGGGTTTTCAGAGGCAGCAAATCACAAGGGAGGAAAGCCAATCTTTTTCTGTGGAGCAGATGATAGATTCCAATCCTTACCTTTGGACTGAGAGTGCAACTCCTCATCCAATAGGCCACCAGATCTAAAATCTACTCAACAAACAGTTGTCTTGGAGGTTATTTTCCATATCACCTTTTTACCATACTTGTCCCTAATGTTCTGGTACTGATTTGTAAATCTGATTACCTTAATACTTTATATAAATATTCTAATGTGGAAAAAACAATGTAAAAATGAAAAAAACTGTTGGTGACATACATGTTAATTATATCCAAACTGGTAAAGAGAGATAACACGTAAGTCACAACTTTCCTTATTTAAAGTTGATACAATGTTTGCTGTGGAAAATGCTCAGGAAACTGTGGTTTTCACACACGTCCAGTTACTTCCATTTCAAATAAATTAAGTAAAAAGGGAAAACATTTCATTTTTTAATAGAAAAATTTATTCTGGAATATGTTTATTTACTGAAAACACAAGAGCATTTGGTGCTCAAATTTGAGAAGAATTTTGTGAATGTACCCATGACTATAAACAGTTTAATGATAAAAAAGATCCATTACATGAAATGTTTAATTTCTTTTAATCATTCCTCAAAATAAACTAACTTTAAATGAACTGAAAAAGGGAGAATGTTAGTAGCAGTATCTTGAAAAGAAAATGGAGTTTTATTTCAATTCTAGGTTTTATCTATAGATGTAACTCAGCACACTAATATTTACATATTTTTAAAATTAGAATTGTAACAGCAAACAGGCAATTAAAAGAATTCTGAGGAATTGGTTACAAATGAAACATAAATATTTAAGAGTCAATAAAAAGATGGTCAAAGCTTAACTTTAATATATGCAACTCAACTAGTATTTTAAAATTAGATTCTAAGTATAGATGAATAGAATATTTTCCCTTGTGAAGGGAAATAATTACCCCTTTCTATAGTCTAGTGAATACTAAAGCTTTCTTTGGATCTATACCCAGGTGTAAATCAATGTCTACATGTACTGATTTCACTATATGGGTACAAAATATAACAAAATGAAAAACAAAAAATGCAGCTGAACTCCATGTAACTGTAATCAATTCCAAGAATGCAGGAGCCAAAATAATCCCATTTCCTTTAAAAAGAAAACTAGTTTATAATGAAAAGGGAAAAAAAATCCGTTCCTTCAATCCTCATTGGGAGTCAATAAGACAGAAAAATGATGAAGATATTAAAAAAAAGGGGGGGAGTATATAAAAAAAACAGAAGTCCCAAAATTGATCACCTATATTCTCCTTAGAGATAACCGGTGGCAGAATGGGGTTCAAACTCACCAAAAGCTTCATAAGATAAATAAGTGGTAGTCTGAAGAATTCAGGTCATTACAAAGACAAAGGAGAAGAAAAGACCAAAATGGATGACAGAAGAGACTCTGAATATTGCACTAGAGCACCAAGAAGCCAAAGCAATGGGAAGAAATCAAGAAGTTAAGGAGCTTAATAGATTTCAAAGGGCAGCTCCAGAAGACAAAGTATTTTAATGAAATTTGCAAGGAGTCAGAGTTGGAAAATCAAAAGGGCCAACTAAATCAACATCTGTTGTTTGGTTTTTGTTTTTTTTTAAAAAATTATTTTATATTGGTTTGCTTACAAAGTACATATACATTGTGTTTCACATTATTCATTCACATATTTCATACCAAATCATTTCCATGCATTATGGTTTTTTTTAACATAAACTTTTTATTTTATTCTGGCTTATTTACAAAATTTGTATACATTGTTTTTCACACCAGATCTTTCCCATTTCCTTAATCTACCCCTCACTCTACTCATTTTAATGTGAAGAAACTAAAGAACATATTCAAGCTATGAGTTGCAATACTTAAGGATGCTATGGGTAAAATACTGAATGATCGAGAAAAAGCTAAAAGAAGACAGAAGGAAGCTTTAAATCTCGGAGTTTGGCCTGAGGACTGCACAGATACAGGGAGAAGGGTCATTCAAATGCCGCGGTGGGACCCATGCTTGTCCCTCCCACCCACGCCACCAGGTACGAAAATTACGAGTCTCAGCAGTCTGTGAGGAAGTGCCAGCTTTAAACTTTGGGAAGACAACATACACCAAATCTATAGGATTTATCAACCTCCCCTGAAAACTCATCTAACATTGGAGATTAAGTTTCTTTGGTCTACAAACTGATGTCTGGCCTTACCATGTTGGTCCCGCTAACTCAAGCAACAGGGAGGTCCTGGGCATCTCGACAGAGAAGCAGTGACATCAAATCAAGAACCATCTATCACCTCAGATTTGAAAAACTCTACCACGTTAATGTCCCGAAAGAAGCAGGGTTCCTCACTCGCTATGCAAACCCAAAGCAAGATATCTTTTCTCAACCCCCCCAAAATGACAGAGTAGAAATGGATTTCCTGAAGCCAGAAAGTCTGATGGAACTTTCTGACAGAACTGAAAAGAACAATGATTGAATCTTTTCAATGGATGAGTAAAAATGAGGAAGAGCTTAGAAAAAACAATTTATAACAATGCAGAAAAAACAAACGAGGCACAAAACAAGAAACCATGATCCAAAATATGAGGTCTAAGGTTTCTAATGCTTTCAACATGATGCAGAGACACATAAACAGAGGTGAAGAGATGGAAAACAGAATCAGTGAAACAGAAGATAGAACTGTCACCACAGATCTGAGAAAAAAGCAGAATCAAAAAAGAAGGAAACCGAAGAAAACCTAAGAATAATGTGGGATATCATTAAAAGAAGTAACATTTGCATCATCGGAATCCCAGAACAGAAAGAAGCAAGTATAGGCACTGAAAAACTTGTGGAACAATTACTAGAGTAAAACTTTCCAGGCATAATGAAGAATGAGAGAATATATATTCAAAAAGCCGAGCGAACACCGTATTGAATAGACACTAAAAGAAAAACATCAAGGCATATCATTATCAAATTTGCTAGAACCAAAGATGAGAGAATACTGAAAGCAATGAGACACAAAGTAACCTATAAGGGAGAACAGTTAAGACTAAATGCAGATTTCTCAGCAGAAACCATGTGAGCAAGAAGACAATGGAATAGCATATATAGAACACTCAAAGAACACAACTGTCAACCAAGAATACTGTATCCAGCAAAACTGTTCATCAAATACAAAGGAGAGATCAAAATATTCCCAGAAATACAGAAACTAAGGGAGTTTATAAAAACAAGACCAGCCTTACAGGAAACAC